TTAGATCAAAATGTGTTTTTCTGGATACTTCATACACAATGCACACATTAAAACTTCGATTTAGCTAATTTTTACTAATTCCTACCCCATATTTTGAATTTAGCAGCTTATACACTATATATTGCCACTAATGGCACCAAACAGAATTGCAGTGATATTGATCGCTGCCAAACGTTGCAATTCCATTTAATGCTGCTAGTGGCCCAGAAATTACATACTTAGACCAGTTTGTTTCGTATTAAATGGAGGTCTTACTTATAATCTTACTTATAAGCACAACTGTGACTTAAAATGCATGAAAAGCATATGATGGCATATAGATGGTTATAATGTCCCTCACGCAAATCTGGTCAATAAGACATAGTGTTTAATACGGTTTGAATTGGCACCCTGGAGTGGAGTGTCATTTGGCGCTTACATTACTCCTAATGGTGTAGCCATTAAATGCAACTGCCCTTGAATTAGACTCACCTCTCAAACGCTCGCTCTGTTATTTCTCTAACATTAGGTTCATTACCGCAGCCAGACTATTAGTCGTTTAAGCCGCAGTTTGAAAGCTTTCGAATGCAGTCAATGAAAGGTATGTAACTGATATTTTCAAAGGCTTTTTATGAGTGCTCTTTTGTTGAGAGTCGAGTGAAGGAGATTGTCTGGAAGTCTGCTCTCATTCCCATTGGAAACGAGTGGGAGTTTTTGCACCTTTAGCCCGGAGACGGGAGGCAGGTGTTCGTGGGTGAGTCTGGATGCAGATCAGGTGAATCTCCCCAGGAGAATCACGAAAAACAGGTTCTTGAGAGAGAAGAGAGTGAATCACCTGTGTGGGAGCTGCTCTGATTGTGCTACGTCCGATGGTGTCCGAAAATGGAGATGGAAAACAATATCATGCTCCCACGCATGATTAAAGCCGTAGCTCACCCAGAATGGAATATTCTGGCTAATCTTTTACTCGCTCTCATGTTGTTCCAAACCTTTCTTTCTTCTGTGCTACACAAAAGGAGATATTTAGAACAATGTCCATGCTGCTCTTATCCAAAAAGGCAAAAAAGAAAGCTTGTGTATATACATTTGACAGATTCTTTGGACTTCAATTCAAGACTGCATTCAAGGTATATTTTATCAGTTTGTCTGGTGCCCACAAATATAACCCATGATTTATCAGGGTTGTGCACCATTCAGAACTGAATTGAGGGTGCCTTGCAGAATTGCATTTTGAATTTGAATGTAAGAAGAATTAAAAGGAATTCAAATTCAGTAGTGCTTTCACATCAGAAACATTTTTTCCTTCTTATTTTTAATATGTTAGTATAATTCTGGTTTTATACAATCAGGATGTTCAAGTGGATTGATTGATTGTTGGATTGACTTATTTATTTATTTGATTAATTATGTTTTTAACACATCCAAAATAAATTGCAAGAAAAAAATTATTACCCACTGTATATATAAATTATTTTATATATAAATTATATATTATTTGTATTATATAAAAATATTAATATATTATAAATATTCATGTTAAAGCATGAATATAACATATATTTATTAAATTATTAATATAAATATAAAATATAATTAAAGTATTTTAGAAATTATTTTAATATCTATATTACATATAAATACATATTTAAATAAATAAATAAATATACCTATATAAAAATATACCTTTTTATATAGGTATATTTTACTTCAATTCCGAGAGGGTCCTTGCACCATTGGTGCTCGGGCCCTAATAATAATCCTTAGGGGAACTTGGCTAATGGCTTGGGCCCTAATTAATTAAATTTCAAAGAAATTCATTTATCTAGAAAAGTAAAGTTTTGAAACTTTGAATCTCAGATAGATGGATGAATGGACAGATAGATTGACAGACATTTAATTTCCCTAAATGCATCTGAATGAATTTCTTTAAATTATAGTACTGTAAATTCCCATATCAATCATTCAGTTTCAAATTCCAGTTCAACAGTTCAACACACTCATGAATTGAAAGGGAGCCGATTCTTTAGTTCTGAATTTTTCAAGCATTTTTTTTGTTACCCTGTATGGGAAAGAAATAGGAGAATTTCAAGTCCTGTTGTCTTTTCTTTATTTTGCTGACATCTCAACTGTGAACCTCAACCAAAGTGGCTCTCGTTAGAAGAACAGCTTGTTCAAACTCTGGAGACACAAGTCTGAACATTATTAGTGGGAAAAACTTTTGCAAACTTTCCTCCGTCTCTATCCAGGCGAACTCACTGATCTGTGGTGCCGTCTAAAGCTGTCAGGTGTTCGTTTCTCCTTCATGAGCACAGGAAATGAGAACTGCATAGTTGAGATAAAAACTCTACTCTTTATTGCCAGATGGGGAGAGCATCTTTTCCACAGTTTTACTAGGATCAGCTACTTATAACATTTGCATGGTCCACATTTAACCAATTATAAGTGCTGATGCAATCAATATGCAGCCAATTAAACACTTTTGCAAACTTTCCTCCGTCTCTATCCGGGCGAACTCACTGATCTGTGGTGCCGTCTAAAGCTGTCAGGTGTTCGTTTCTCCTTCATGAGCACAGGAAGTGAGAACTGCATAGTTGAGATAAAAACTCTACTCTTTATTGCCAGATGGGGAGAGCATCTTTTCCACAGTTTTACTAGGATCAGCTACTTATAACATTTGCATGGTCCACATTTAACCAATTATAAGTGCTGATGCAATCAATATGCAGCCAATTAAACACTTTAGACGGCAACATGTTGGACTGCAATCAAGTCTGTTGCTGCATCTCGGAATTACCTGCATCCTATTTAGAAAATTGCGGTAGCATACAAATATAAGTAGGAATATCCCACATCTCACTTTAAAATATTAGGCTGCATCCTAATTTGCCTACTGTGCATTCTTATAAGTATGCAAAATTAGCATTACTGCATCCTAAATCATATTGATTGGTTCAGTATTTTCATAATATGCATGGTGTTTGAACTAATATTGACCATAGAGGTGTTACTCATTAGGACGCCATCAAAAAATATGATTTAGAATGCACTAATGCTAATTTTGCATTCTACAAAGAATGCATAGTATACGCAAATTAGGATGCACCCTAAAATTGTTTGTACTGTAACACCATTGGTACTTTAGTATATTGTTGAGCTGTAGAAAATAATGAAATGTACTTTATTGGCTAATATTACCCAAATCATGGTGTGCTATGATTAGAGATGGTTATTTTGTGTCAGATGTTTCGGAAGACATTTCAAGAAGCACTTTTAGATGTGTGAACCTAAAAATGAATGATGAATTGAAAAATAGTGTGCAACAAAAAGCTTTTTTATTTCATTTGAAAACACAATTTGATGACTATACTACTGTATGTCCCAATACTTCCATACTTTGTCTTACTACATACTCAAAAGTACATACTTGCCATTATCAGTGAAGCACATACTTAGTGTGTAGTAGAAGAATGCAAATTGTGCAGCAGCCTGTGAGTCAGTGGAGTGGAAAATGAATCTGTTCATGAATGTAGATTTCTGTGAAACATCTGTCACACGGACTTTCTGGGAAAGTTTCCTGACATATTGAGCAGGTTGAAGTGACTTATCACCATTAGCACAGAGGAGTGGGTTGTTTCTGTAAAGCTGGAGCTTTTCAATGATGGTGACGCATGTAATGAATCTATAACATGCTGAGCGGCCCACGTGTTCTGAGAACTGTGTCAAGAGACGATTTGTCCTACGTTAAAAACAATACATCAAACACTTTATATAAGATTTGTAAGATTCCATTGCTGCATTTTTATGCTAATTTATAAAGTCTTTTTTTCCTTTTATACCTTGCAATGAAGTAAATAAACTGATTAGGCAGCATTTGCAGAAAATAATACTATAATGCATGTTGTTATAGATTAATTGCATTAATTGCATTGCATTTTATTGCAGATAAAATATGTACTCTTGTGTTTCTCCTTTTGCTACCAATGAAACTAGTTGACAGATACTTTTGAAAAGCATTTCCTGCAGTTTAATGTGCTGTACTTCATCTAAATTGATTAAAATCATGTGCTAATTTATTTATAATTATTATAACTATTCGTGCAGCATGAGCTCATATTAATTGAAAAACTTAATGGAATATTTGTACGTATAAAAATGCATTTCTCACACCTCAGACCTTTTTAAAACGAACTAGTGAAGACAAAAAAGTGTTTGAAAATGTTTTGAATCACTTTGACCCAGAAACACTTTGGAGTTTTAAGCTCTGAAATAAAAAGCAAAGTCTCAGCCATCATTTGAATAATGATGCGTCTGCAACAATCTGAAGTAGAGATGTAAAAATAATCATTCAATTTTTACTTGAAAGCACAAAACTTGTGTGTTTCTGAGTCGAAGTGACCCAAAATGATGGACCAAGTTCAGACTTCAGGTCATTATTGTACTGTTACTCATGATTCTTAACCTTTGACATTTCTTTCTTTCTTTCTTTCTTTCTTTCTTTCTTTCTTTCTTTCTTTCTTTCTTTCTTTCTTTCATTTTTTGATAATCTCATATATTTCATATGTATATTTTATTTATTTGTATTATTTATTACATTTCGGCAGAGCCTGTTTTTTAGAGTAGGTTTGTTCATGGCTACAAAAACAGACACCATACCAATGCACTCTATATGTACGACACACACAGACATAAACACACATACATGACACACACAGTGTGATGTCGGCTGTCTCCATGGAGACAGTGTCTTGCTGTCATGCTACACTTACCACAAATGGATTTTTAACCCCGTTGCTCCCGCGGGATATTTAAGAAAAGGCTCTAAAACTAATAATTATGAGACCTCCTCTCTGAGAGCCCATCTCTATTCATGGCTGCTTAGCCACTTAAGTCAGCAGTGATGGAGGGAGGCGATGGAGGACGCAGGCCGCTGTCTGTCACCCTGTATGCGGCCGCATCAGCTCATATGACCTGAGAGACTTCTGCTTTCTTTCTTTCTTTCTTTCTTTCTTTCTTTCTTTCAGAGGTTGGCTAGAGAGGCTGAAGACATGCAACGAGAGCATTCATGGCAAGACGGAATCAAAGTAAGATCAACTGTTACAATCTTACTCAACTTACTCAGTCGTTTGTTTTCTTTCAGTAATGGTAGAAGAGAAATAATTACCGCCACAGACTAGTAGTTTCAATGAATTAGTGTTATTGTAGTAGCATTGATATACTAGTACAATTTTTAGTAATATTTTGAATTTGAGTTTATTTTTAATTGTTGTGTGTGTATGTTTGTGTGTGTGTGTGTGTGTTTGTCATTTTTATTTATTTATTTTAGTTTTTTGTATATATTGTGTCTATATAGTTTTAAGCTAAAAAAAATATTTTAAATTTAATTTAACATTTTTTATTTTAGTACTTAAACTAAACAAAAATAGGAAATTATGCTTTGGAAACTAGCTAAAAGGTTTTTAAAAATATTTTGTTTCAGTTAATGTTTATTTCAAATATTTATTTTTTTAAAGGTTTTAGTCTTATTTAATGATAATAACCATGCCATGAAAGACCTTTCCAGAGTGGAAATGAAAAGTTTGTCAGACAGACATACAGAAATTCTAAAGCTGCTAAAGTATTGGCATGTCAATCAATACCACACTTACCTTGTTTTCTTCTATAGCTAGCTGGCAAAAGCTCAGTGTATCAGCCGGGCCGTATTTTTACATAGGCGCACAGTTGCTTTGAAATGGTCCCTGGTCTGGGACGCCCCATTGACTACTCACTGAGGCTTTTTTTTCAGTGCAATCGACTGGCTTAGTTAGTAATGTTGTCAAATGCTAGAGTAACTCTTTCAGTGGAGCTCCTTGAGCAAAACCCCCGGGCGCCCTTGGAGGGTCGAGCTCAGATGCCACGGCTGCATTATGAGGAACAGTATGAATCTGTGAGCTTATATGCAGTGACAACCAAAAGATTGTGTAGATTGCTGATTAGTTTGATATTTCGCATTCACTTGAAACCCTTACATAAAAATTACTATGGTACATCATATATATATATA